CTGGGACCCGGGACCGGTGGCCTCCTTGGGTTTTGAAGGGAAAAACGAAAAGGACACCAACACCATGCTGACAATGTCGGAGTCTCCCTGTTTTCACTACACGTAAAGGTGATCCCAAGTCCTACAAAACAAATGAATGCTGCGTCTTTTGCTCTGACTCTTGTTCACACAGATTCCAAGCCAGTGCTGTAAGTTCAAGTCCCTCACTCTCAGTTGACACAATTGATACTCATCATTCTTTAAGATGAAAAGACTGCTCTGCAACCTCACACACCGACATTGGGCTCCCTTCATTACTCGCAACCCGTGTCAGGATCCATGTGGCATCTCGTGCCCGCCAGCCACCGGAGCGAACACCAAAAAACATCCACAGGAAGCCTGGACGGCGGGCTAGAAGCCCCAGCTTGTGTCCGTGTTTCTTCTTGCTGGAGTCCACAAATTGATCCCAGCCAATTTCAGAATGTGGCAAAGTGAAATTGCCTCGAAGCCCCCATAACAGCTAAAAATGGCAAACACGCCAAGTACTTGCAAGAAGGTGTCCAGCCCTCAGAAGAATGTGGTTTTGTCCTCTAGACTAGTCCATTCCACTGCGACCGTTCTCCTGCTTCTTGTCTTTGGTGACGCCATGCAGCTTGAATGCCTTGACCTCGGCAAGAGCTGCATCCATTCATGCTGTATGCCAGGCTTTCACCATTGGAAACCAATGATCGAAAGATCGGCTGGGGTATTTGAAGCAAATACCTTAGCATGGTTTGCATGCGACATGGCACTGTTGCAAGCTCCTGCCTTCCATCAAAAGACAAAGCTGCAACTATTAACGAAATGTCAGCGCTCCGAATTTGTCTTTGTCGACTATGGGTGCCTTGATACAATGGATCGTTTGCATGAGAATGCATGCGTTTCATCGCTGCCGCATCACCAGTGTACATCGGAGAGGTTTGAACCAGCACAGCAGCCCTTGACATTTAATCTGTCTACCGCTTTCAACAAAGGAAATCACGCGTGCTCGTCCATCGTGCTGGCATATGTATACCTTGAAATTGGATAGATGACCATGCTCATCCTGAAGTAGTCAAATGCTCCGACAGCAAAGCAGAACAGTCTCGCACATACGTCCGAATTTCAGTCTGAGGATCCAACATGCGGCATCCCTGCTACAGTCTCAAGTATATACTGAACCCTCCTTGCATGTTTGTAGGCAGCTGATTCGGCGTGACCCCAAAAGCAAGACATCAAGTTTCAAACCGTCGGTGTGGCGTCAAATTTATCAGACAATGCCAGCAGCGGGCATCCTTGAAGATAAAGTGACGTGCTGGAATGTTCAACCTGATTCCAACATGGGCATGCTACACGTGATTCCTTTCAAGCGAACCTGAACAAAGGGCACACGATTTCTCCAACCCCTGCTGTTGACCTCCACTTTACATTTGGGCTGAGCCCGGAAAACTCATACGCTCCCCTTGAACCAACTGTTACGCGTTGCCCTCAGGAAATGTCCGGTGTGTTTAGCAAGTGGCCATGGGCTTAAAGCCCGTGCCCTCAGTGAACATCTCAATCCACCCCCCAACATAGGTTCTAAAACGGGAAGCGCGAATTCACCTACCAACCAAAATGGGATCCCAACACGGTTTTGACCACCGCCACCAAGTTGGGCCTCCGGGGCTCCTCCGACTCCAGCTGTCCAACGGTCCGAGGCGCCGCAAACTTCCCCGCGCGGGTCTTGCCGCGCGCCAGCAGCACCGAGCCGTTGTACCCAGTTCCCAGGGCCTCACGCGATCGCCGGGCCCCCAAACGGTAGCTTTGGGCTCGAAATGGCTCCGTGCTTATGGAGTTGGTACCGTTTTGGGCTTGTTCTGAAAGGCATCTACGGGGAGACCACCATTTTCGGGTGTCGACCTTGACATATTTACCCAAATGGATGGCGAAAACTGCCGTCTTGGAATGAGCCCTATGCGGATATCACCCAATACGGAACGAAAGGATTCAGCCCCATCCTAAGGTCCTAGCTCGGTGCATCCAGTCCCTGTAGTGCCCAAGGAAAACCGGCATGTAAGAAGAGGTAAACATCCTGGCTGCTGCTTTGATAGCGGCAGCTGCATTAGTTGGCAATCCAAACTCCGAAGGGGAGGTTGGGAACGCGAGGAATGATCTATGGTGGGGGATATGGGTGGATTTAAACAAGCACTTTCACAAGGCTTCGCGGGCTAGTGCTGGGCTGGGCTTTTCCGTAGAGCAACCTCACAAAGAAACAGGACAAATCGACTCTTAATGCCTCTTGTGGACGTAGAGTATATGTTTCAATCCATGACAGGAAGGGCCGCCTGAAAGCAGGGACGGCGATGTTTGGCCTCTGGACCCAAATGGCAGCCCGAAAAGACTTTCAGGCGCCCGCTTTGATGAGGCACAACATGCTTGTCTTGAACGCTGCGAGGATGACCGAAGGGTATGCGGAGGTGGGACAGGGCAAATCTTGCCAAAGAGTGGTGCTTTTCGTTCCTCCATCACGCCTGCCCAGAGAACAGGTCTTGTTGGTGGTCGCCCAATACGAAGATGTGGTGAGTTACTCAGTTTCCCAAGGGACCCAGAAATACAAGGGCTCTATAGCCTTTTGGAACCTTGACATCCTTGACTAAAAATGAAGCAAACAGGAGAAACCAAAAGGCCAAAATGTCTGCTTTGGGCAACTGAGGGGAAATCATCACATTTCACCAAGGGAATCTGAGAAGATGGAAAACAAACTCAGCTCCAACCAGTGCACGCAGCGCTTCGCGCGATGTGCCAACACGGAATCTAGCACCCAGAGGAAAAAAAGGACTCTTGCAACATTAGTCACAAGTATCATAAACATTATGAACAACATGTCTTCAGGCGTCTGTGCAACATGCACCCAGACTCTATCCCATCGCCTTCTTCTCCACAATGTAGTCGTCTTCCAGGCGGGTTGGCAGGCGATGGTAACGGCCCACCACTGAAAGATGACCCACGCGGTCTTCTGCTCTGCTCCTGCCCAGAGATTGCCTGGCTTAGCCGCTCCTTTTGTCCCCCCCCCCCATGGGTCCTGAAGCAAAAACCACAAATAGGAAGAAACCAGGAACTTGGCTTGCAGAGAGACTGTCGGGTTGCAAGGGATGACGTTGACATCAATCCCCAGCAGTCCAACAAGTGTTTGGTTAAGTCAATCACTCATAGACTCACATCAGCCAAAATGCCATCAAAGCAAAGCTTTGCGGAACCCAGTGTGCCAGCAAAGGCTGCAGCCGAAACATCGGAAAGCTTGCTCCCCTCTCCAGGTGTTCAACTAAACTCTCCAGCTACAACCAGCATCCGCAGGCTTGTGGGTTTGGGGTCCTCACTTCATCCAGCGTGTTGCTTGATTGGATCAGGCCCATGGCCCGAATGCGGTGGCTGGCCGCTTCTGGGCCAGAAGCAAAAGGCGCTTCCTTCCTAGAAGGGCAGTCGCGTGCTTCGAATTTCGGTGTCTTGAGAACGCAAGGCGCTGCCAGGTCGGTTTTCAATGCTTCTTGGTTTGTTTGTCACGGCTGTCCGAAAAAGGTAGCGACCAAAAACTGAGTCAGTGGCTCAAATTGCCGCTAAGCAATTGTTTGCAACCTGTCCAAATGAACCGCCAGCTGACCAGCCCTTTGGATTCCCACGTGTTCTTTGTTCCTGACACATGTGTCGTTCCAAAAGCCACAATGCTGCAGGCAATCGAGTGCGCAAAGCTCGTGCAGGTGGGCGGCCTGCTACCAATGTGCTTCGTGGCATGCAGTTCTTCAGACAAGCTCATGTACACGCGAGTGTGTGTGTGTGTGTGTCTTGATGTCTGCTTCTGTATCTGTCTCCGCCTCTGTACCTGTCCGCCATTTTTTGTGGGATGAGGTAGGCAAGTCACCAGTATGTAGTACGAAGGCAAAGGTAGGAACTTTACCGCTTTACTGTCTAAGGCAAGTAGCAATGCTATGATGCCCAAAGCGACGTCGAACACCAGCACGCAGTTTTGCCCATGCAAACCTACTGGATGTGCGCATTGGACATTGACATGAGCAACTAACGCCGAGAACAGGATACTACCAGCAACTTTGTCAACTCGTTCTTCCACATCGATTGTATTGACGCAAACAATAGACCAGCGGCAATTAGCGGTCTCAATGGGCAGATTCCGTGGTGCCGAAGGTCACTCCGCTATGCCTTGTGCAAATGACTCAGAGTGGCCTCTGCAAGGGTGCAATGCAAAATTCAAAGAGCATGAAAGAAGCGAGTCATCACTCAAATCAGTGCGGTGTCCATGGCGGATCTTCGTCAGAGACCATGTTGCAGTGCAAAGCGGCCCCATGGGATTGACATGAACAGAATTAGCAAGCCCAGGCATCATATGGAATACCACCCATTATGTTCCGTGCAACCGCATCAATCACTACATCTGGGATGGAATCATTGGCTCCACTATTCCGTGGTCGGGAATTCCTGGAATTGCGTTTAAGAGAACTGCGCGTTGCGAGAGAGGTATGACATCATCTACATTCAACAATCGGCGTGCCCCCCCCCCCACAGAGTGCCTGAATCCTAACTATGTCCGGGGCACAATCTTTCTGATGATCCAAGGATGCATGTCAGGGTTCAGTCATGTTCTGCATGTCAACAAGTGATGAATGTCGTGTCCGAAGCTCCTGGAAACCAATCCTCATCGTCCTTTGCTGTCCCGCGTCGATCCGAGTTCAGCTTCACTAAAGGGTAGCTAGGGCCCAATCCCGGGCACCTGCCTAACCACAGCCCAGATGTTCAATGGCCCATGGGCAACAGACTGTTTGCATTTTTCTAGTTCCCCACGTGAAAGCGCGGGATAGGGTTCCGGAGTGCGCCAGGTTTGTAAAAGCTCCTGAGGTTCCAGGGAGCGGTTGCTGGATGGCGCGCTTCAGGGATTGGATACCTGGGCTGGTATGTTCACGAAACCCCCTCCCCAAAAAGAAAACCGCCCGCAAAAACATGGGACGTGCTCTGGCCTGCTTCAGCTCCAGCTCGCCTCGGCTGCGGATGGCCTCCTCCAGTTCGATGGCCACCAAGGTCCTTTTGCTCGCCCAAAGCGGAGCGTGCGGTGGGTCAAAACTTGGGTTCAGGGTTTCTTTTCTAGGTATGCCCTTTACAAGAACTACAAATCAAAACAGATGTGTTCATCCAGCCAAATGATCCCAACGCATCAAGCAGTATGAAAAATCCGCCCACATGGATCAAACAGGTTTAACCGGTTCAGTACAAGTGTTCATTGCCCGAATCATCGCACAAAAACAAAACCAACACAACGGAGAACTGCACTTGATGGGGGTTCTCAGGCACTCACGTGGGCACCTGGAGCTCTTCCGGAGGCTGGGTGTCCGAGCCAAGAGCTCCCTTCGTGCTGTGAAGCCGTTGATGTCTGGAATCCTACGCTTACCGTTGACACCTTGTCCGCTTCAGCTCGCGCGCCTCTATTAGTATGGCACTCGCCTTTTCCTTGCAATGAGCAGGGCGTGTGTCAGTATGTGTGAGGTTCATCGGGTGAACGCAGAACCGACTCATGCTTGCTGATTTTGGACCCCCTGCTCAGCTTGCATTTGGCGAGCACAAGCTATAAAATTCGGAAAAGCGATCAAGACACGGAAACCGTTGAAATGAATCCGGCGGTCCGTTCTTGTGATAAGCAGACTCTATATATGTTCCCACCGAGTACCCACGTTGAACCCTCACTTCACAAAACAAACACATGAACAACAAACACATACGACCTTGAATCCACTTCTACGTGCGTAGCAAAATCTCATGTTTGTTCCCGGGGTGGTCCTGGGCGGTCCTGAGGTAAGGTTCCACGAGGGTTCCACGAGGGTTCCACAAGGGTTCCACCAGGGTCTCCACGAGGATCTGCGAGGGCTACGGGGTGGTGCGAGCACTAAAAAGAGCACCGCATGCTGTTGGGGATATCACCTGAGCTGATTTTGTTTGGGAGCTCTCCTTTTGGGTATCCAGCAGAAAGGCGTGGTTTCCGCTCAAAACCCACTCCTCACTGCCGCATCCTCCTCGGGCAATTGCGCAACCTGACGCTGAAGGACTATTCGCCCAACCTCCCCCGCCCTGCGGACAGAGACATTTTGGGTGCTGCCACACTTCACCATTATCATGTGTTTTGAATGATGGAAACGGAGGAACGCACCACGCACGTGCTGAAGCGAATCCCACACATCCATGTTTGATCTCCAAACCCATTTCACAGGAATTCAAGCGCCCTTCTTTAAGGACAGCAGCCGGGTGAGTAGGATGCAAGCAGTCAGCCTCAATAAGATAAATGCTCTAAACATAGGCGGACCGCGAGCTATCAAACGCCAACAGGTCGGGAAGTACCGTGGCCATCATGAATTGATATGTGAATGTGATGCTGGCCCTGGCAACTGTGGCTTTACAGGCAGAACATGAAATGATGTACTATAGTATGGAGTGTCACATGAATTAAATGCCCCTGCTGTAAGACTGACACGGCCTGCGCTCAAATAACAAACATAATATGTTTGCTGCATCAATTGTGCAGGGCTGAACCAGATTTCAAAGGGGATGTGGTCTGGCCATCGCGATGCTTGGCAAACGACAGCTACCTCCCAAGTAAAACAAAAAAGGAAGCGCACACTCTCCCTTTCCAAAAGGACAGTCTTCCAAACTAGTCTGAGCACCTCCGCTAGGTCCTTAGGTCCTCCAGTAGAGAGGTTTGAATACGGGCACCAACTTTTTTTCTGTTTTTCTATTTCAGTAGGGCAACCCTCCCAACCAAAAAAGGGGGTGAGACAGGGCACTGACCAACGTGGTCCGTGTCGGCTCCCGAGCTTCTGCCAGATGCGCCTTGGCGTAGCGCAGCATCTCCAAGCCGTCCGTGAGCTTCCCGCGGTCCCGGGTCTGAGACGACGATGCGCTGGGAGGTGGCCATGGGTTGAAATGATCGATCGATCGGTTAGCTGTCAGTGAACCTCCCAACCCCCACGAAAAAAAAGGTTCTAAAATGGGTGGTGAATTCACCTAGCAAAATGGTACCATGGGTTTTGACCAGCCAGGTGTTTGTTTAAACGGTGCACAAAAGAACAGCCCCCGATTTGGTAGTCGCGAACGCAGTTTATTCACACTTGACCAAATTGCAATGCCCAACAACTCGAACAACAGGCTAGCCGGAGGAAAAACAGAAACCCAAGAAGGCAAATGGGAAAACGCGCGGCGGCCGAAGCTCCAGGAATTAAGGCAAACAAAACACATCGCCACATTTGCCTAGCCCTCCGAGGATTCCTTGCATGTTCCAACCCCGAACGATTTGCAATTGCCCAAGCCTTCAGGGAACTATTGCCCTGAAACCCGGCTCAAAGCCTCCAAGGCAGCGCGTAGCTCCTGCTGCAGCACCTAGCGAGAGAGCTGATGGCAACCCTCCTTGGGAACTTGTGCTGGTGTCTCTAGCGCTAACCTGAAATGAACCAATGGCAAAAAGTCAATGTAGATAATAGCTATAGCCTATAGCCATATCATACATTGCACTCCCCCAACGAGAAACAATTTCAGCGACTCCAATTCCAATCATGTTCCAAAGAAGCTGTTCCCCTCTCATCCACGTCACCATAGAACCTACAGATACCGGAAGATCTCTGGTGGGGACCCTCTCCTGGGCAGTGAACGGGAGGGTATGTTGCATGTGTTTAATGGTCAACACTTCCCCCCATCCAGGTGGTCGCTTTCATGGCTTCATTTGAACACCGGTTCATAGTTTTGGCACATGCTTCTAATCCAAGGACATGGACACATAAGCATTGGGAGTTGTCGTCCTTGCTAATTCAAGAGTAGAGCAATGGTAGCATTGCCAGTTGCTCACATCATGTTCGGACTTGCTTGATCACACAACAACAAACAGTAACACTGACTTACAAATAGCATGTGAGTGTATGAGATGTTGGTGTGCATACTGCACGCACAATCTGCTCAATGTGTTACGAAACAAATCCACTAGCCAACCGATGGTCATTGGTCGCAAATGCTGCCAGCCCTTGGAATTTGTCACAGGATCCGATTTTCCGGCCTAAACCCTGCTTGCCATGGCCTTCCTACTGCTGGAGGCCTATGAAGCCGAAAAGGCGTCTGGGAGTGGACACATCCGATGCTTGGGCAGGGCCACAAGTGCCGCGCTGAGACACTGGTCATTCATCGATATCCGGATGCTTCTGAAAGCAGTGCGGCAACCAAAACGACCGACGAGCTCGTTTTGTATTGACCGTTTGGTCGCGTGAATGCAAGTCGGCTGGGTTGAAAAGAACGCGTGTCTGGCTGAATTGCTCACTTTGCGCCACATCCCAATTTTACTCACGTGTACAGCACTCTTGGTCAACTGCTTTGCCAAACCCCTCTTGAAAGACTATCCCTGAAGACCAATTGGCTACAAAAGCCTCAAAATGTGGCTTGTCTCATCCATGGGATCACGTCAATGCGTTGCTCCAGCCCTCTTTTGGTTGGGAATTTGTCTCAAGTTGATGGGACGTCCCCGAAGAAATTGCCCCGCCGGGCAACAACTGGGCCCTGCCTGCACCAGCTTCATGATGGCCTGCATGATGACCGGGTGCACCTGCGCAGCTGACATGTGAAAAGTAATCCAGCGGTTGAGTTCTGCATCCATGCAATCGCGCAGGCACCTTCATCTGCATGAATCATTGCACATATTACATGACATTATATATATATATATCATGTCATGTAATATGTAATTCATGCATGTGTGCAATTGACATAACTGCTTGTAATCTGCTTAAACAACTAATACTGCGCAACGAGCTGATTAGCCGCAAGGTTAAAGTGGTAGAACTAAGCATGCCTGTACAGGCATTGGCAAGTAGCAAGTCATGCGACGCTGACCGAGTCACCCAAAAAGCAAGCATCAAGGAAGGTGTGTGTTCATGGCAATGCATTTATGGTTGA